GCAGCCACATATTAGACCCCACTTAGGTGGTCTTATTGGGATTGGTTTGGACCTCGTTGTTGGTCCCAAAACTTGGTTGAATTGAGACTCGTCCTGTGGACTGAGCAAGTGAAGGTGTGCGTTTTTAGATTTTGAAGTTGTTATATGCATGTTGGATGCATTAAGTTATTTTAAAACTTTGTGGGCAGTTTTGCTAGAATCATTTGAAGGCCGGAAGCCATTTATGTAAATTGCTTGAGATTTTATTGTGTATGCTGCCGGATGGGTTATAAAATGCGTTTTTTGCAAGTGGAAATTTTGGGGAAATGTTCAATTTACAGGGGAGACTCTGCCGAAATTTCGGCAGAAAGTCTCGTACCCTTAGTCCTCTCTGGTAAACGAGGACATAGATTTAAGGAGTGAACCCGGCTTGGGTGTGATGCCGGGGTCTCCGCAGGGTTCGTCTCGGGTTCTGGGAAATTCGGGACGGGTCCTGTCAGGTGTTGTATAAAGTACGTTGATATACTAGTTGGTGTCTGTAGCATTCCTTTGTGCAAGTCGTGATAGATGATAGTCGCTAGAAGAGCATCAAACATTAGATGATAATTCTACATTTTCAAATACTAGGGGCACAGCCGCGCTCCCACTTGAGGAACTTGAATGTAGAATATTCTAACAATTGAGTATTGTATTTTGAAGACACTCAAGGTTATGTGTTGTTGTGATAAACTCGGGGTTTTGGAACGTGAAAATAAAATGTCACGTTTATAATCATTTATACAATCATCAATGCATGTTATAATTTAAGTAAATTTGTCATACCTTCTCTCTTTTATTATTATTTTTAATTAAAAAAACCTTAAATCTCTAAATTAAGTTATTAGGTATCAGACATTTCACACCAGCCTTGTTTACTTAGAAGATAAAAATAAAGACTTATCGGATGTGCATGCATAGGTGTGGAAAAAAAAGAGGACCATTCTTGGAAAGAATTTCATTTGCATGATTTGGAAAGAACCGTTGGAAACAGTGTGGAAAGTCTTGGTCTTTGTCATTATTCACAACGGGAGACACATGCATATTTTCGTATACAACAGGCCATTCATTTTGACCGTTCAATTTTTAATTTCTTTTTTTCTTTTGAAAAGTCATTTTTTGTTTTGTTTGAGATAAGGTACTCATTGACGCTCCAAAAAATATCATAATGCGCTCCCTTGTTTTTATAAATGTAGACAAATTGTAGTTTGAGATGTGCTTGATGAAATTTTTTTATTTATTAGGTTGAGAGTCTATATGATATTTATATACTAAGATTGGATTATAGACTTTTGTTTTCTGCTTTATTTGGCTAATTTGCTTCAACATGGCTTATACGTAGGAAATATTTTTGCTCACCACTTTAATTCAACTATACCCTCACCACTATGCCCAACACTTAAAACGTGTCCATAAGCATAATTATGATTCCATAAGTACAAAGTAAAGAGCTAACTGTTCTTATGCCAATAAACACGTATTAGGTATTGAGAATGATAATAAAGGTACACATTGAATTAAAGTGGTGGGCAAAAATATTTCTCATATACGTATACTTACGTGAAGTCTTCCTAACAAGCAAGTCAACAACCTTCGAAAAAAGAAATCTCTCGTTGTTGCTGTTAATTTTGATTTGATTTCTCCATATATATTTGAAGTTCAACAATCTTTTACGTATGAAAAATGAAATATCGTAGGGACAATATCAAAAGAGTAGACTTGCTCTGTTTGGAAGTTAGCTGTAGTTGTTTTGTTCCACATTTATTAAATTAATACACACACACACACATATATATATAGTAATAAATTATTGACACTAATAATGATATGCAATTTCAATTTGGCATCACCCATTAATCTGTTGGGAGGTGATCATGGTTTGGTTCCCGTAGTATTACATTTATAAAAATTAAGTTACAATCCAAGTCAAAATAAGAAATGTAAAACATTAATTAAAAATAAAGAACGGAGTGACTTTTTATTTTTATTTTTTATGTATGTTCATAAGAGAACAACTTCATTCAACTTTAAAAACAAACATTGGAGCAACTGTAAAAGTCGGAGAGCATATAAACGTGACCTCATTAAAACCTTGCCTTAAAAAACCTCAAAATGAGGAAAATCCGGTCAAGGAAAAAGAGTATCACTGCATCTCCTAAAAGCACAAAGACAAAAACAAAACAAAAAACAAAAAAAGGCAAAAAAACTACCCAACTCCCTATCTTTTTCCAGAAGTAAACCCAGCTAAGGAGGCATCCACCCAAAAGAACAAAGACGATACAACTATCAAATACATATAGCTCAGTTGAATTACCCCACACATCTTATTCTACATAAACATGCCACTACATACCAGAAAGACTTCGGAATATTCCGGTGGAAGAACGGATGACTGGAATATGCTGAACAGCTTGAAATGCTTCAGTATCCCTTCGGAGCTGAGCCGTGAATGCAGTATGCATTTCATGGACACAGAGTTCCTCGAGTTTCGTAAGACCCTCTATGCCAACTGGAAGTAACGTCAGATTCTTACATTTGGATATGGTTAGCTTCTTAAGCACATGCATTGCCCCATTCTCGACTATCATCAAATTTAGTTGATCAAGTTGTTGGATGCGTAATATCTTTAGCTTCTGGAACGTTTCCACTTGAAATTCTAACTTCTCCCCGGTATAATAGTCAACCAAATTGAGCTCCATTAGATTAGGCAAAGCTTGAAGGGCCTCAAGTGGGTTGGCATCAGGATCCAGTTTTGATCGCTTCAAGCTAATCTTCACAACACTTTCAAGTTGAGGAAACCACTGCGGTAAACTTATGAGGCGCCCTGCCAAACAGAGTCGTTGCAGAGAGCTAGGAGGGGATCTAATATGATCCAAATCAAGATACTCATCCTCGTTTGTTGATCTCACTTCAAGCGTCGAAAGGCGCACCATTTTCTCAACCGCGCAGCACAACTCTGTTGCATGTTCTGCTATGACATCTGTCAGCCCCAACTTTCTAAGACCAGTTAACTCTGCTAAGTATTTTAGGATTGTTCTTTTGTTTCCCACCTTAATTAGTGACAGCTTCTGTAATTCGGGTAAAGCTCCGATGTTGCCTGAGGAAACCACCTCCACTCCTTGGGCAGGTCCATCATCATCTTGATCACAGCCGCGACTGACCAAAAGATGGCGCATATTGTGGAGCTCATAGATTTCTTTTGGTAATTCGGTCACCTGGGTTCGTTTAAGATCTAACGTTTCCAGCTGTGAAAGCTTCTTTATAGAACTTGGAACTGATTTGATTTTGGTTTTCCTCATACTTATGTACTTTAAGAGAGAGAGGCCAAGAATAGATTTGGGAAAGTCCTCCAAAGGAACACCTTTAAAATCTAAAACCCTTAAATATTTAAGGGTTTTAAGTACATTTCCAAGCTCGTCAGAGGAAAGCACTGTCGGCTGGGTAGAGCCAAACACTAGTAAGGTACGTGTTCGATTCAAGTCTCTACACCCTCTTGACGAATTGTTGATAGGAGCATAATGTGCAGAAAGGCGTCGAATTTTCTGACCTGAATGACTAGTACTAGTACTGTTTGATTCCACGACAGTAACAAAATTCTCTGCTTTTGAAATGACGAACTCGCGAACAAGGCTCGTAACTCGACAAGTCCTTACTTTCCCATCAATCTCTGTTGAATTCACGTCAACCAAATTTCTTCCAATGAGTTCATTCAGACAATCATCTGCAACGTCCTCCATTGTTTTTCTGCTTCTCGGGGTCACAAATCCTTCAGCTACCCACAAACGAATAAGCCTCTCACGCTTGATGGAGTAGTCTTCGGGAAACATGCTGAAGTACAAGAAACAACTTTGTACATCGATTGGAAGGTCCCTGTAACTTGGATCCCAAACTTGTTCAATAATCGGAAGATTGGAAACAAGGCTATTATGGAACTTCTCCCACTCGAACGGAGTTTGTGGCTTCTTGGATAGCAAAGTAGCTACAGCTGAAACTGCAAGGGGCAAGTATTCACATTTCTGGAGGATTTTAATTGCCCAAGCTTTAAGCTCCTCTGGACATTCGCCTTTATTTCCTTGAAATGCCTTCTTGCAGAACAGCTTGGTGACATCTTTCCATGATAACACTCTACTCAAATCATGAATATACTCGGCAGAATTTGCATGCAGAGAAGCTAAATTAGAGTCTCGAGTAGTTATGATTATTTTGCTTCCGGGCAAACCTTTTGGTAGAGCAGTTACAATGCATCCCAAATCATGGTCGCTCCAAACATTATCTAAAACGACCACATACCTCTTTTGGTTCAGAAGTTTTCTCAATTTTTCCCGCGGATCTATTCCGTCATAATGATGATGATGATGATGATGATGATGATGATGATGTACAACTGGTTCTTGCAGTCGGTCCTCAAATTTGCTCAACATGCTTAGCAAGAGCTTTCGGCAATCAGAGGTGCGCGAAACCTCAACGAAAGCATGACAATCAAATAATCCTTGCACACTTCCGCTCCCATAAACAATGTTTACAAGAGTGGTTTTGCCAGAGCCTCCAGGACCCACGATGAAAATCTTCAAAGGACTTGGATCATCTCCTTTCACCAACTGTTGGATGAGTATTTCTTTACGCTCCTTAAAGCCCTCAGTGTCTTCTTCTTCAACAACTTGGTGATAAACCAAATTATTATAAGTTTCTTCAGGTCTTGTGTTGGGAATTGGTGGGTCAAGAAGTGAATCTAGTGCTGGTAGTGAAGCAAAAGTGCTTCCTCTTTCAATCTTTTTGAGCTTGTTTGATAACTTTATGCTTGCTTCCAATACAAGGGGGAAATGTTTAACGTTGTGCGCCATCCGAGAGAATCTATTGCTGTGCAAGTGATGTGGAATCTTAGCCACAAACTTTCCAAGAGCGTCCTCAATATCGTAAACTGTATCTTGGATCTCTTTTGCACGAATTCGAATCACTCGGGGGCCTTCATCAATCTGGTCTGATGAGTGTTCTGCAAGATAGGCTTTCATCCAACTCAACATTTTCTGGGCTCTTTCAACGTCTTCCTTTGCGTTGATTGGACTTGGAAGGTTGAGTTTTATGAGGTTCTCAACTAGGACCATTGCTAGTGGAACAGCAAGTTCAGCCATTTAGCTACGTAGCTTTTTTTTTTCTTTTTTTTTTTGGGGTCAAGAGTAGCTAGTTAGGCTTTTTGGGTTGATTGGAATTATCAAGCCTGAAAGCTCATATAAATAGCCACATTCCGTGAGAGGGGGGAAACTGGGAAGGAAAGAGGGGGGGAACTGGGAAGGAAAGAGAGGGGAAACTGGGGAGGAAAGAGGGAATTAGGGAGGGGAGAATGGTCTTGCCAATGCAACCCACCCTCCTCACTTGGTTTAAGAAATGTAATAATGGCCACAATAATTAAGTACATGCATGCATGGAGCAACTGGATAACAAAAGGTCTTGGTCTTTGCCAATTTTGTCTCATCCTTTTTTTTTTCGTTCTTTCTTTCTCGGTTGGATAGATGAAGAACATAGAAAAGAAAATTATGGTTTTCGTTTGTTTTTCCCGGCAACTTGTTTTCTGTTTGACAAATTCTACATTTTCAAGTAACAGGTTCATGGAAATTTCTCAAGTGACGCTACTTAAATTAGGCACGTCGTCGTCCAATTGTGGACTGCAACAAATTTCTTTGTTCTTTTGGGTGGATGCCTCCTTGGCTGGGTTTACTTCTGGAAAAAGATAGGGAGTTGGGTAGTTTTTTGCCTCTTTTTTTTTTTTTGGAGGGGGGGTGGTCCTTTTAGGAGGTGCAGTGACACTCTTTTTCCTTGACCGGATTTTTCTCATTTTGAGGATTTTTAAAGCAAGATTTTAACGAGGTCACGTTTATATGCTCTCCGGCTTTTACAGTTGCTTCAATGTTTGTTTTTAAAGTTGAATGAAGTTGTTCTCTTATAAACATATATAAAAAATAAAAATAAAAAGTCACTCCGTTCTTTATTTTCAATTAATGTTTTACATTTCTTATTTTGACTTGGATTGTAACTTAATTTTTATAAAAGTAATACTACGGGCACCAAACCGTGATCACCTCCCCTCAGATTAATGGGTGATGCCAAATTGAAATTGCATATCATTATTAGTGTTGAATATAGTTGGTGTTCGTAATATTAGTTCCCCAGTTGGCAATCGCCATTGATATAATAGTCTGACAAGGAAAGCCAAAACCTTTGCCACTCCCACTTGAGAAGAAGCTTGGCCTACGTTGATCAAGTGAACAATATTCTTCCAAACTGAATCCGCGTAGAATAAATTCTGTCTTTATCTTATGACATAGAACAGCTGGTGTATTGTGTACGCCGCGGTGGCAAGAAATTTCAATTTTCTTGAAAGTGAAGTTGGAAAAGAACAAGAAATAAAACTAAAGCTCTAGGGCTACCAACCAACCATTTTTCAATAATTTATCACTACAACTACAGCTAACTTCCAAACAGAGTAATCCTACTCTTTTTATATTGTCCCTACGATATTTCATTTTTCATACGTAAAAGATCGTTGAACTTCAAATATATATGGAGAAATCAAATCAAAATTAACAGCAACAACGAGAGATTTCTTTTTCCGAAGGTTGTTGACTTGCTTGTTAGGAAGACTTACGCATATTGGAAATATTTTTGCTCATCATTTTAATTCAAGGTGAATCCGCGTAGAATAAATTTTGTCTTTATCTTATGGCATGGAATGTTAATTCCTTAAAGCCATAAATATGTTTAACACTAACCTGAGTCTGACATGGTGCTGGCGCAGATTGGATGATGCTAGAACAGATTGGCAGTGCAAGGTATAGAAGTTCTTCTCCTGAGAATCCGATCCTTATAGCTATAACTCTGATGGGTGAATTTCTGTTTAGCTGTGTTGTGTTATCCGGATCTAGGAGGGAGCCTTCTATTTATATGCATCTCTCTAAGTGTCTTGCCCATCAAGAAACACTTAGAGATATCCTTCATGCTATAGGATTAATCCATTCCAATCCTTGTAGAACTAGGAACCCTTAAGCCTTCATTATCCTTATTGAACACTGTTTGAGGCTTGCCTAATCGAGATAGGTTTTGAGTTCCTAATAAACAATAAGTCTTTGTAATCCTAACTTGATTAGAAGATCACTTTAGTAGGTTTAATGTAATAAACCTTCTTACAT